ATAATGACACATCTTCCTCTTTTTCCTTTTTCCTATTCAAAAATTCAATGAGAGAATCTCCTGATCGAGGGTATATTTCCTTTTCGAACTCTCTCTCGAATTCACTCAGGTCAAATTCCATATCTTCCTCAGACACGTCCATTCTAACGTGCTTAGGATCGATGTCTTCAGTGACATCTACCATGCCTATAAAGGCCGAATTTGTTAATCGGACATCATCATTAATGCCTGTTTGGGATTCGAGGTATCCAACTTGGGCCTCGAATGGACTCGTGTCAACTTTCATTGTCATTTCTTCGAACCTCAACCTTCCTTGGTCAATCGCATCCTGGATCGTATTCCTGAAATGTATGCAATTGTTAGTCCAATGTCCAAAAACATTATGAAATTTACAATATTTTCGACCATTCCTTTGTTCTGCCGAAGGCAGTTTATGATCTTCGCTCAACTTAATTTGTTTGTCTTTTAACAAAACATCGAAGATTTTATCAGCTTTCGTCACATCGAAAGTATATGTTCGATTTGCCATTTTATCTTTTACTTCATTCTTTTGTAGCAGTTTACAAGTATATGGAACCCCTTCTTTGAGTTCTGCTATGTTTACTTTCTCATCGACCGTTTCTTCAATATCACTTTCTGTCATGTTATCTGTCTCATATACATCATTTATGTATGCTATTCTTTCCTTTTTCAAAGGTTTCTCATATTTCTTATACCTTTGTTTCTCATACTCTATTTGTTCCACTCTTCTCACTTTATCAGCTAACTGAGCCATATCATTCAATGGTAAATTGACCAACTTTTTCCTAATCGAGAATTCTAAGCCTGCAGAGGCCATTCTGACTAATTCATATTCAGGAATTTGAGTAAAGCATCTTGATTTCATTTGTCTAAATCGATTCAAATAATCATCTATACTTTCATGATTGTATCGTTTTATGTTCATCAAATCGATTAGACTTACTTGAGTCTCTCCTCTAAAGAATTGTTCATGAAAATTTCTCTCTAACTCGCAACCAATTATATATCGAATTGGGCGGAACGAAGTGAACCAAGTAAAAGCATTCTTAGTCAAAGAACTAGGAAAATATTTCATCTTTAATTCTTCACTCATCGCTAAATCCCCGCATTCGATCTGATATCGAGCCACATGCTCGATAGTCGATTCACCAACTTCTCCAGCAAATTTAGTGAATTTGGGTACTTTATATCCTCGCGGCAGTTCTGTCTCGAGAATCGCATTTGGAAAGGGAGACACAAAATATGTCTGATTGGGTGGTCTAAATTCCATCCCTTGTAAATTCATCCTTTGTCCTAACATGTTATTCTGATTGTGTATATTTTGAAATCCTTCGTTCAAATTCCCATACGGGTCATTCCTCACATGTTGGTACTCATTTCCCCTTTGTTGATGTTGATCATTGTTTCTATTCCTCCTCAATAGATAAGGGGGATTATTCGTAGCATGATTTTCTACCCTCGTTTGTCGAGGTATAGCCAATGCCTCCCCGATTCGTGACATTTGGTCCGCTAATATCTCAAAACTAGCAGTAGTGTTTTGAACTAATGGATTTAGAACTGTAGTCAACTGTTGTGATAACATATTCACCATCTCAAAATTACTCTCATCCATTTGTTGTCTAAGTATTCCTAATGAATTACTAGATATTCCGGTACCCATGTTTTCGATAGAATCAAAATTAGATCGATGATAGTCTCTATCGAATACATATCTCCCATGATCTAAGTATCCCCTCTGATCTAGATTTGGAGGTATCTGTCTGTGTGCCTACATTCCGTCCATTCCTCGAATCTCGTGGAATTACTAAGTTTTGCGACGTTCCTAAATTCGGAGGGATTCCAAAATTTTGTGGCATACCTAGTGTTTGGGACATTCCTAAGTTATATCTCGAATTCCTATGCGTTGAAGAAGTTCCAGCCCCACTCACATTATTAAGTGAAAACCCGGCGGTCTTATACTCATACGTGGCCCTACATATGTGGTTGTGGGATTTCCTATAGTTTGCATATTATTTGGTATCACCGTACTAGATCCTACTTGGGTGTTTGCTAAGGTACCTGAATTTTGTTCACTACTCACAGGTATCGACATGCTCACAGTTGTCGATACTACAGGTATGTTCCCATTATGACTTTGCCCCCCAGTATTTGGTGGGTGTGACCCATTTAATCCCTCATTGTTACCTTGGTTATTTGATGAACTCTGACTCATGACTCTCCCACTCCTTAATCTCATACAATTTCGAACTAACCAATTTTGTGTTTCTCAACACAAGACCCCCCTATCTGGCGCGCCAATTTGTTTCTGGTGGAATTTCGATCGATTTCGTTTCTAAGGGTATTTTGGTCTTTTAATCGAAATCCTCCCACGTAAGCTCTTTTTACTTAGGCTAGCAATTTGATTTTCAATCGAAAACGTGTATGAGAATCGAAAATTACAGGATATCGAAAATGCTGTTTTTGGTATTTTGTATTTTAAAGTATCGAAAGCAGTAAAAATATCGAATCAAGAAACAATGTTAAATTGCAAGAAAATGTAAAGAGCGAAAATCCAAATTTGCATCAATTGTAAATGACGAGGAATCGAAAATAGTGCAAATATAAATGACAAGAAATCGAGACTGCAAGAAAAGTAAGTGACAGGAAATTGAGATTTGCAGAACATTAAATAACATGGAAACTTAAATGCATAAACTTAAATTTTCATTGAATTGAAATGGACAAGGAATCGAAAATACAGAAACATAAAACTGCTGAATCTAAGTTGCATCAAAATAAATTACCAAGGAAAATACAGAAAGCGGTAAATGTACTCAGTGAGCAAAGAAATCCAGATTGCCAGAAGCTTCATGGTGTTCGTCGTTTCTCCGGTAGACTTTTCACTACTGATTCTGTTCTCTGCCAATTTCTGCCCCCTTGTTCCTTCCTCCTTTGCTCTATTTATAGGGCATCCTTCAAGCCTTCCGAGAGCAGTTAACGCGACTGCTACCACGTTCTACGTGCGTATGATAGTTTATCTTCTATAGTTTCCCACGTTCTCACGATCTCCGACTTTTTTCCCATGATTTCAAAAACTGCTCTTTATACGTGCATTCGACTTACTTCCTTTCACGATTTGGCCAAAGTCTCGATGTCCACATTGGCTTTCTTTACTCTCGATTCTGTATTTTTCGAGAACTTTGAATTGCTTACGATTCCTTTTTAACCCTGGTCTTATATGACTTAGTTTTTATTCGACAACAGTCATTTGATTATTATTCATTCGATTCTCGACTGTGCTTCTCGATGCTATATGCTACGTATTTCTAATTAGACATCGAATGAATTTTTGTTTGTCTTATCGAGTCACATTTCTTTCCTTCGATTTCGATCGCTTTTCTCGATTTGTCACTAACAAATATATTATATATTTATTTAAGTAAAAATATTAAATGTTTTTTATTTTCTATTTAATAATTTATTTTAATTATAATTAGATTGAATTATGAGCCTAGATTAAATAATTCTAATAAATTATTTATTACAAAAATAATTTAAAACAAATATTTTATTATTCTTAATATTAATTTTTAAAAATATATATTTAAATATACTTTTATTAAAATTTAATATAGTATTTTTAATTAAAAGAACGAGATAGAGTCAACGACGAGAAAATAATAAACAATTTAAAGGGAGTAAAATGACCAATGAATGAAAAAAAAATGAAAAAAGATATAAAAAAGAGTGAAAAAAAAGTTGTTTATATTAAAAAAAGTTTATTCTCCACGAAAGAATTATGTCCGGAATATACAAGTATATTTAGTAAATCAAATAATAAAAATTTTATTTGATTATTTTTTGTTTTAAAATATATGGTTTATCATATTAATTCTTCAAAATACTAAATCTTATTAGTTGTTGAAATAATTTTTTTAAAAATAAATTTTAAGACGTTTTAAATTTTTAAAAATAATTACATTATTTGTAATCATATTTATTCATAAATCAATATAATTTTAATTAATATAAATTTTATTTTATAAAGTTAAATCAATTATAATTTTCCCACTCTTTTTTTCCTCTTAATCTAAACATCCAAAATTTTTTATTTTATTTATATTTTTTGTTCACTTCTTAATTCAATCAAAACATTAATAAAATATTCCACTCATAATCTTGCATAATTAATTAATATTTTTAAAATTTTCTATAATTATAATGTGTTTTAACATTGTTAAATAATTGCTAAATATAGAAAAAATAGTAATAACAAAATTTGTATTTTAAAATTCAATTTGTCAATCTTCATGGAGAAGAGAAAATCAGAGACCATTCATAATATTTATTGATGATAGAATAAAATAATTAAGAAATTTTGTTAAATAATTAATTAAAAAATAATTAAAAATTGAAGAAAAGATGAGCCTATTTAAAACCATATATTATGTTTAACAGAAAATGATGAGGAAGGAAACAAAATGAAAAGATCTCAAAATTTTCAAAACAAAAGATGACAAGCCGGTCTTTACCTGTTTTGTTTTTAACTCATCGATTTGTTTTTTCCCGAGAAAATTCTCTTTCATCTCTCTGTCTCTCTCCCTGGTTTGAATTCCTCTTCCACTCACAGACGCGGACTCGTTCCTTCTTTCTTATTTATTGCACTTGTCATATCGTATACACGCTCTCACCCACCAAAATTTTTATCATCAACCCTTCCTCTTCGTCTCTGTAATGGCCTTTTGATCAGACCATCATTTCAGGTATTTGTCACTTTCTATTCAACTCTCTCTGGGTTTATTTATTTAAAAATAAGTTTATATGTTTTCATCTCTGGGTTTTGATTTTTCGAAACATTTCATACATGGGGCATTTAAAGTTCCAATTTTTAATGAAATTTTCGTGTGACCCACTTTATCATTAGTATTCTTTGAAATTTTGCTAAGGGTGTTTTTCTGTGTGTCGTAGGTAGATCTGTGGTGGGTTTGGTCTGAAACCCAATGCATTTGTTTGATGTTTATAAGGTTATGATTTTGATTCTTGAACGTGTGGAATAGATGGAACAGTTTGTTGCTACCCATTGTGATTGATCCGCGTGATCAGTTTCTGCTTGGTCAATCGGGGTGTCTTGGATTATTTGGGGCATGCATAAAATGTAACTGTTCGAAATGGGTCTTGGATTATCATGCATGTGTGTGACTTGTTTTGGCTTTGGGGGTTAGGTTCTGATGGCATTGTGTCCGTTGACCTTGTTCATGTGTTTGTAGTGTACTGTCCTTGATTCCATAATCATGTGTATTGGAATGATTTGTGTGGGTTTTTGTGGACAGCCATACATCAACTAACAGTTGGGTCACTGGTTTCATTTGTATGGCATTAGTTTTTACTTATTTGCCATTGTTTACTTTCATCAGTTAATGTTATGTTAATTTATTGTTGTTGGGTGCTTTTTGTTCCTTTATCATATTAATGTTTTTCTTATAGTTTTAACTACCGAGGGTTAGTTTCTTTAGGACACAATTTGATGCTAATGTAAGGCAGTTGAAGAGTGTCGGTGCTTTGAGTCTCAATTTTGTGTTTATCCTTTTCACTTTTGCGTTCATGTTTTTCTTTAATGTATAAGGCAAAATGGAAAATCTAGCTATTTTGATGGGTACTTGATAAATATGCCAATAGATCATTGCTTTCAAAGCTATAAAAGTGGAATAAACTTTGAATATTTTTGAATAATGATTGCAGCTTTTAGAAGTTAGATTTCTTTTATTTGATTTTACAAATTCTATTCATCTGCATTTATGCTTTATTCAGCCATACGAAGTTGCTAAATTATATTTCAAAATCAATATTAGTGGCATCAGTAATTGTGCTACCTTAATCCTCCCCATATAGGAAAGCTACTATACTATGAGAGAATAGATACAGAATGGGTATAAATTGTTAGTTTCATGTATTAAACGAAGTTGGTAATATGCATGTAATACTTACTAATGCCGTGAACTGTGATGATTTATACTGTATGTATAATAAGAAATAAGAATTCTATTTATCAAATTTTGTGGTCGATTGTGATTAGTGAATTCCTTTTCCTTTTCATTCTCAAAAGGGCTGCTGTTGGTTGGTTGTCAAAGCATGGCATCTAGTCATCCATTCTTTGATGATATACGTAGCAGATCTAGTGTTGATCCTCCTCAAACGGAAGAGCCAACTGAAATTGGTGAACTTGTGAATGAACCTCTGCAGACTGCTCTTAAACCTCATGGGACTGTTTCAAGCAGTGTTCGTGAGCTATTAGAGTGCCCTGTGTGTTTAAATGCTATGTACCCTCCAATTCACCAGGTTATTTTTTGGTTGACATTCATTGTTGATTTTTATAGCATGTGGTTGTAATTTAGCAATACTGGGGTCAATTGTGTTTTGATGCCCTGATTTATAAGAATGATTGTGATGTCCAATTGATTCATAAAAACTAAGTACTTTACATTAATTTTAAGTTTATATTTGGCAATGTTTCGCCTATTTCTATGATTAGATGTTAATTTATTTCTCATGATTTGGAGAAGCTTATGTACAAATGACTTTTGAATGGAAAAATAGCTGGAAAGGGTTTCTTATTATTCCCAGTGTGTAGCTTGGATCGTCTACCATAACTTTTATCAATGCATGCTCTTTTCCTAGGTAAATGTTGTGAAAAACACTATATATGGCGTATATGTTGGTTTAAATCTGTAGAGTTAACTACTAATTGTGATAAACTCTAAAAATCAGAGCAGTTCAAAAGTAGTTTTCCTTAGTATCTGTGGTTCAAAATTCAATTCTCTCTTCATGTCGATGAGCTGATCTATGCTGAGATGATTGGATATCTTCAACTTTTTTGGTAAGATATGAAGAAATTTGGATTACACATGCTATGGAAATGGATGATAAATTATGGTTAATATTTCATTTGAAATGTCAAATAGCTAAATCTGATTCATAAGTGCCATTTCATTTGAAATAAATCCTCTGAACATCATTTAAAGGATGTGATAATCTCACACATGGAACAAGGATGCGAACACATGTTTTCCTTAACAAGGACTCAACGAAGTTTGTCATATGTAACTTTTGGTGTTTCTTTCTATTTAAAATAATCATTGTTTTTTATAGTTTTGTAGTAAAGAACCTTTTTTAAAGTTTGCTTAACAGCATTTGCTTTGTTAATCTTTGTTGCAGTGTTCAAATGGTCACACTTTATGCTCTGGTTGCAAACCCAGAGTCCATGATCGGTGTCCTACATGTAGGCATGAGCTAGGAAATATCAGATGTCTGGCACTGGAAAAGGTGGCTGCATCATTAGAACTTCCCTGTAAATATCAAGGTTTTGGGTGCATGGGCATATACCCATATTACAGCAAGCCAAAGCATGAATCTCAATGTGTATTTAGACCTTATAATTGTCCATATGCTGGTTCAGAATGCTCTGTTATGGGTGATATACCTTACCTGGTAACCCATCTGAAAGATGATCATAAAGTGGACATGCACAATGGTTGTACTTTTAATCATCGCTATGTCAAAACAAATCCACAAGAAGTTGAAAATGCCACATGGATGTTAACGGTAATGTTTTGCTGAACTTCTATTGACTTTGCAAATAAACTAAAAGATGTTTTTTGTCGTGCTATTATGACTGATATTTATTGGGACTAACTCGTAAAATGACACTGTTCTTTCTGTATGATGCGTGTCTTCATAGTCTCATGGTTTCAATTAAATTTTAATCAGTAATTTAGTGTTGGAACGAGTGTGTTGTTCCTTGCTAGCAATCCTAAAGAATGAAGTGATGGATTTAAATAAGTACATACATATCTTTTCATCAGCGGGTGCCTTGATGGGAACATTGAATTGAAGTAAACTGAATCAGCATTGTAACATTGTTAAGCAAGAAAAGTCATTATATTTCTATATTTCAGTACGGGAACATATCAGATTTGTGTTTGATAGTTTGGATAGCACCACAACTCACAATTTGCCTTTGTAGTGTAGATTTGTGCAAAATATGTGACTTGGGCAGTTACCTGATTTTTGGAGCTCACTTTTGTTTCTAGGTTTTCAGTTGCTTTGGTCAGTACTTCTGTCTACATTTTGAAGCTTTTCAGCTAGGAATGGCACCTGTCTACATAGCGTTTTTGCGGTTTATGGGCGATGACAACGAGGCAAAGAACTACACCTACAGTCTTGAGGTTGGTGGAAATGGGAGGAAGATGATTTGGCAAGGTGTGCCTAGAAGCATTCGGGATAGCCACCGGAAGGTTCGTGACAGTTTTGATGGTCTCATCATTCAGAGAAACATGGCTCTATTCTTTTCTGGGGGTGACAAGAAGGAACTGAAACTGCGAGTCACCGGAAGAATTTGGAAAGAGCAGTGATCGGACTGACCGTGATCGGACCGGAGATGATGTGTCCTTTCTTCAGGTAGCCAGCCAATTGTATTAAACAGGATAGTTTGTAGTGTTCCTATTTCTTAATTCTTGTAGTGGTATGAATCTTCTGTTCATGTATTGCCTTTTGTAATTTAGGTGGCAACATCTCTTTGCTTACCTCTAGATCAAATACATGAACATGAAGGTTCATTATGATATTTTTGAATATAGATGTAGAATCTTAGCTTGCTCCAATGTTCTGCTTTCTTCTGATTCTATGGTGCAAAATGTCTCATGCACACCAAGTTAACATTTAGAATGGAGGAAATCTCTCTAATCAACCCTTGATATTGTAGGTTTATTCATGCATTTTGATCCCTCAGGTTTTGAAATTCTTTAGTTCCTCACATCTCTAACTCAAAGGTGTAAAACTAAGGTTTTGTCCCTTTGATGCAGATGTCAAAAAAAATAATAACATTTAGATCCAAGTTTAAACGATGGAAAATAATGTTGTGTTAAAAACACATTTCAAGTTGAAATCAAAACTAAATTGTATTTTACTGATAGTATAAAGAAATTTTTGGACATTGTGTTTTAATTAACATATAAAAAAAATTATATTATACGACAAAGTTATTTTTAGAGATTATAACTTAACTTATTTAAATTTCAGTCCAAGGTAAATGATCAAATTATTTCAAGAATTATTATTTAATCTATTTAAATTTTTAGATTAAATTAAAAAATTACATATTTTTAAAGTTCAAAATTATTATTATTTTTGGTAACAAATTTGTGATCCGAAGGGATTTGACACAATTAATTTAATTTCCAATTAGTATATTGACGTGGCTTCATGTTTTCTTTGGAAATTAAATTGTGCGGGCTATTTTAAGTTTTGTATATATATAACTCATGAACAAGTTTACTCCACAAAAACCACGGGCTCAGCAAAATCTAAGTCGATTGTATAAAAATTATCTTTAAAATTAAAATTGAGTTATTTAATATAGTATTTATTTATTATGATAAATGAAATGGACAAAATATTACAAATTAGAAGAATGAAAAAGATTGACGTTATTTTGTATTTTATTATACAATTCAATATTTGATACACTTTTTATTTCAATTAAAATTTTTCTATATAAAATTTTCTATTTGATATTTCTAAGTCAAAATTTTAATTTAGTTTAACGAAATTGAAGTATATATAAATAGAAAGACTTATAATATTTTATAACATAATCAATTTAATATAAGTTTCTTTTTTTAAAAATATTTCTTTTTAATTCTCTCTTTATATATAATTCTAAATATTCTTTATAATTGCCTCTTACGAGATCTATGTATAAAAAAATTTCTATCCCTAAAATCATTTTATTTTAGAATTTTCTTCTTATTAAAAATATAAATATAAGTGACATTTCTATACCCAAGGAATTCATATTGATTTTTTTATATTTAAATTTATTTATTAATATTTTAATTGAAGAAAAAAAAATTACTGCTTGCAAGTTTTATGGGATAAATACTAGGAGACACGTGCTTTTATTTTTGTTTTCTATTTTTATTTTCTAATCATAAAACTCCCATCTTTTCAATATGTTTCTCTTTTGTAAGCATTATATTGATAAGAATTTTTCCATCACCATATAGTATAAATATTCTTATCCCAACATCATTTATTATATGATCAAAATAGTAGCATCATCAAAATTCCAAAATATAAAGTATTTAATTAAGAAAATAAAGTCATTATCATGTGTCCAGCAGAAGAGGTTGGTAGTTTGCCTTTTTACTACACTATTGATTTCTATTCTTTAATATTTATGAAATGCCGTATTACCATATTTTATTTTTATTTAATTTCCTTCAGAAAATTAACCAAAAATAAACATTCGATATTCCAACTGAAAAATGTCTTCAATGTTATATTGTACCCAAAACCATCTTCCTCAGGGTTTTATTATTCTCTAGGGTGCAGGCATCAAGTAGACTTAGCCGAATATGCTTTCCACCCTTCAACACGGTATTCACGAGCTGCCTCAGCAGGGTTTGTTGCTTTGATGATGCCACGTCCCACAATGATGATGTCACTCCCCCTATCATGAACCACCTGAAAAAACATTTTAACTTGCAAGATGAGTATGATTCAAGAAAATAAACGTTGCTTTAATGTATCTTCAATACAAGAAAGTTAAAAGGTTGTTAGATGAAACACTTCCATCTCTATACCACAAACTCCAAAGTATCATTTTTCTTTATTTCTAAAAGTTGAACACCAAGTACTAAAGAGATCCACACAAGTCGAATTTCACTAAAAAATTAGTGAAGACACAAAAAGTCATTGTGTCAAAATAGATCTGAACATGCTATTAGTTTACCAAGACACCACCCAATAATTAACTTTGCATTTTTCTTGTCCTAATTGAGATATTTAGACACCAACTCCAAAACATCTAAACCACCTATATAATAATTTGAATGGCCAAATTATATTTGGAGTACGTTTGGACATAAGTATTAGAAATTCAGACAAGTTAACTTCTCTTCTTAATGATGCTTCTGTTTCATGCTATATGAAGAGAGCAAGGGACTATATGTTAGTTAAACTAGTACCCCTCCCTCTTCCTTTTTTCTCCAATTTTTGTTTTCAACCTAAGAAAATACAACAAATAATGGGGCTAAATACTTCTGCAAATCTCATCTTAAGCAGAAACTTACAGAATATGGAGTGTTATATTGCTGCCCTAAAGCATCACCACCAGTTACCATTTGAACTCCAGGGGTTGCCTGAATGAAAGAGGGATTTATAGGTGCCCCTGGCCATGATGCAGGATTGACTGAGATGAAGCCAATTACAAAGTCAGAATGATCCTCAGCAATTTTTACTGCAGCTGCGGTATAATCTCCCTTGGCAAGGTTACCAGCTGAACTCATTTCAGCAAGCAGTAATAAACCCCTGCCACGAGGTAAACCCTGAGCATGGTTCGAGAAAAGGTTAGACCATGAGTGGAGGTGTTGCCATGGTGTGAATTAATTAAATTTACAACTAGTACAGACCTTCAATTTTAATCCATCAACAATTCCAGGACCTGAGATTATGTGAGCATTTACTATATGAGCCCAATCCAATATGTGAAAGATCCCTCTGAGACGATGGAATAGAAACAAGTCATATTGAATGCAGAAATGGATGAGAAGAATCCAGGATTCTATGATAACTGAGCAGTCTTACCCCGCGTATTGCATGGTCACTGTGTTACCAATATCAGCAAATTTACGATCCTCAAAGATTAAGAAGTTATGCTTTTCAGCAATCTTCAATAGAATTAAGCATATTAGACACAACTAGATCAGAAATGTAAAAGATTGCCTGAAATATAACACTCACAATGCTAAAAAAAAGAACACCCTTATCATCATAGTTTAAGGAAGGATTCGCTATCCGGTTTGAATAAATTCAAGCACCAAGTGTGCTCATGACAATAATATCGGGAACCACAAGGTTTCTTGTGCTATCCAAAAATGAAAAGAATATGAGAAAAATAGAGCTTCTTTTAGCACTATACCGACAGAAGCTTTGAGCCAAAATCAGGAGTAAAATCTGGAAAAATATCCACATGAGTCTTCAGTAGGCATATCTCAGGTCCAACCTGAGAGAAAACCAACCAAATAGTTAAAGAAAATATATGATCACGGTTAATCTTCTAATTAGAATCCAGTTGATTTTAATAAGGCAGAGAACACAGGATTCTCCAAAGTACAAAAGCAAGAAACTATTCTGCAATCTGATGATCAAAGTGCGCAAAATAGTACTGTCCCTAAAAAGTGATATCAGGACTACCTTCTCAGCAAGTTCAAGCAATTCAGCTGCAGTTCCAACATCGGCAGCCAGACACAAATTACTGGCCTTCTCAGCCATTATCTCAAACAACCTCTTTCCCATTGGATTCTTTGAGAGCCTAGCCCTCTCCTCAAGTGGCAAAGCCTTGATCCTTGTTGCAGGCTTTTCCACCTTTGCCAAAGCTGTAACCTTCCGATTCTCCTCTAAGAATTTCATAACAACCCCTGCCATTTCCTCGTTAAGTTTCCCATGATTGCTCAAAATTTTCACCATATCAGTCAATTTAATAATTGCATGCAGCTTGATGCCATTCTCCTCCAAATTTTCTCTCCCCCCTTGCTCTCTATCAATCAAGACAACGGCATCACTGATCTTCAACCCTGAAGCACGCAGTGGTGCTGCCGTTTCCAAAACTGATGTGCCACTTGTAACCAAATCCTCAATGATCAAGCAACTCTGGCCAGGCTTGAAATCACCTTCAATAGCTTTAGCAGTGCCATAATCTTTGATTTCCTTCCTGCGCATGACCATGGGAATGTTTTGGGCAAGGGAGACACATGTAGCAATTGGTAAGGCAGTGTAGGGGACACCACATACAAGATCAAAGGAAGTGGAAGAGACTGAGGAGATAAGGGTTTGAGAGATTTGCTGGAGGAGAGAAGGGTAAGATATGATGAGGCGGAGGTCTATGTAGATTGGTGAAAAGATGCCAGATTTGAGCTTGAAGTTGCCAAATTTGACAGCTGAGATCTCATGGAGTTGAAGAACGAGAGACTCTACCAATGATGATGTCGACATTTCCTCCCTTTTCTCAGTGTGTCTCAGAAAGAAAATTTAGGATCTCAGAGATAACCTGTCTCGTCCAGTATACATAATAAAACTGTTAAATTAAAGAGTTCGAACAAGTACAGTGGAGAGGTAAAAATTGCATAAGATAAGCTATTTTTGTTCGGCAACTTAAAGCATCAGAATGGAATTCAAAGCATAGACTTAGCATTCTCAATCAAACAGTAGATTGGCCAATTCGTACAATATAATCCTTAGATCACATAGACACAAGATCAATCTGACAAATCAACAGAAATTCCAAAAAAGAAGCCAAACCACAATTCAACCAAAATAATAGTGATAATAATTAAGACTTCTAAGCACCCAACAAAAGTAAATTAACGTAACATTAAATGATGAAAGTAAACAATGGCAAATAACTAAAAGCAAATACAATACAAATGAAACCAGGGCCCGAACTGTTAATTGATGTATGGCTGTCCATCAAAACCTAACCCCCAAAGCTTAAACAAGTCAGACACATGCATGATAATCTAAGACACCCATTTTGAACATTTACATTTTTTTTGCATGCCCCCAAACAATCCAAAACACCCCAATTGATCAAGCAGAAACTGATCAAGCGAATCAATAACAAGGGGTAGCAACAAACTGTTTCATCCATTCCACATGTTCACGAATCAAAATCCTAACCTTAGAAACATCAAACAAATGCATCGGGTTTCAACCCAAACCGCCACCACAGATCTACCTACGACAAACACAAACAACACGCTTACCAAATTAAACAAAAATAATAATAAAATGGGTCACAGGAAAATGTAATTAAAATTGAAACTTTAAACACCCCATGTATGAAGTGTTTCGAAAAATCAAAACCAAGAAACCAAAACATGTAAACGTCTTTTAAAAATAGAAAATAGACCCAGAGAGAGGGAGAGAGTTGAATAGAAAGTGACAAATACCTTTTAATGAAACAGAGACAGAGACGAAGGACGATTGCGCGTCTGTGAGTGGAAGATGATTTTTTTCTTAAGTTTTGAATTATCTTTTAATGAACTATTTTAAACTAAACTAAAACTCAACAATTTCAATAACATGTTAAATCCAAAATATTAAAAAAAAAAAAAAACGGTGCAAAAATAATATATGGCATACAAAGTTTCATTCCCAATCTTCACTTAATCACTCCCAGAACTAAAAGAACAGACGGTGTAAAAGAGAGACCTGCTATGGATGGATATCAGTAGACCGCGCTACTTAAGTGGCTGCGTGCAATTTATGCAATGTTCTTTATTCGTTAAGAAATCTCATGTCTGGAACTATATATATATATATACCAGCCCTATTATTTTTCGTTTATTGCCTTTTGGTCCTCTCCGACTAATTAGCAACACACCTAGTTTTACTTCTTATTTTTCTCCAAGCAAACACTCCTATTTACTCTCATTTGTCAACTATTTTCGTTTAGTTTTTGTCTTTTATTTTCTTCTCTTGCTGCTAAAAGGACCAGATATAAAGCACTAGGTTGAAGAGGCTCAACACAAGAACGAGAGAGTTTTAAAAAACAGGCAAAGTTGTGGGTTAACAGCACATGCAAATGGGTCAGCAAAACATCTCAATGTTTTTCAGGATGCTCAAAACCGAAAATTTTCAACAGTGCGAAAAACGGTTAGATTTGGTTCGGACCTTCTCTGATTCAATCAATTCGGGAAGAACCATTTTTTTTTTCCAGTAAGGTTTGGTTAAGTTTGTTCCATTACTATGATGCATGCCTCTTAAAAAATATCAGTGAACAATGTACCATAAGCGAAATAAAATCAAGAGCTAAAAAAACTCTGAATCACCGGAACAAACAGTTCAGCTGTCAGCTGGAAAGAACCATTATCTGATTCGGTTCGGTTTTCTGTGCTGAATCGAACCGTGAGAGCGAGAACAGAGAAGAAAACGTGGAAGTGGAATTAATAATAAGGAAAAAAATGGGGAAATGACATACCAAAGTCCAAACGGAGATGGACGGCGGCGACGGGGGAGCAACGCGCAGGAATGTGGCGGCGCTGACAAGGGTTACAAGGAAAACGAATTTGAGTGAAATGACTTTTTTTACCACTGGCAACTTATTATTGTAGTACCGTTGATTGCTGAAGCTTTAAATAAATATACTTTTTTATTTTGCTTTTCTCTTTATTTTTTGTTTTTTTTTTCTTACTCTTTTCCATTTTATCTTTGAATTTCGTCAATGTAATTATGCAAGATTTTGTTTAACCATGATATAATATATTTACCGAGTATATATAATATAAAATCTGTTTGTTAAACGATGTAATCATGGTGGGTATATAAATATTAGTGTTTAGGGTGGGATATACTCCATTAATAATATTATTTAGTCATGGACAGAGCTTATATTCGATATATGTTCATGATTTATTCAGAAGTTGAGTATAAGAATAATTTATATTTTACTCTCTTAATTAATTAAAATATTTTAAAAATAAAATTATAATAAACAAAAACTTTAAAACATAAAATATCTTAATAATAAAAATTGAATTTAACAAATATTGTGATAAACACGTAAAACAAATTAATATGAAATTGAATCTAATAAAAATTATAATAATGACATGAAAGTAAGATACTTTCGATAGAAAAAAATATTCTTATTTTGATAATAGAATAAAATTATTTATTATCCGTAATAAAAAAAGTTAACAAAAATATTAAAATACATATCTCTAGAAATTATGAATTCTGCCTAAATTAATATTTATGAAAATATTATAACTTAATTAATTATAAATATTTTATTGTTATATATTCATAATTTTCATATTATTTAATAATTTATAAATACTCTATCTTTTTATCTCGCGTATATATATTTTTAAAATAAATCGATAATAAATTAAAATTCCAAAAATAAATGATGCATTCTAACTTTAAAATTGTATGTTAAGAATAAAAAATTATTTAATATTTTACAGTAATATATTATAAATTTATCTTAAGATAAGTTAAATTATTTTCATTCTAATTAAAGGATGTAATTAAATAAAATACATGATGGCAACTAATAAATTGAGTAAATAAGAATATTATAAAAATAAGATATATAAATTTTATACCATTAAAAATAAGAAATATTGAATAATAATCAATATATAAAAATTCTTCTACAATGAACAAGTGAAGAGTAATGAATAATTAAAACTCTGAGTATTGAGTCAATCATGATGATAACTGGTTTTCGTCACCTTTCAATCTTTTGATATTCAAGAGCAAAACATAACTTGTTATTCTTTGAATGACGAAATATCCACACTGTGACGATATCATCTTTCTGCAGGTTATGAGCTTGGAAGAAATCTTTCCATCCACCATTCAACACGTAGTATTTGTTTGTCCACTTCTTGAATGTGAGATTGTAACGATTGTTATGAATATCATAAGCGCAAACTTTTATTCCATTCTCAATATTTTCACCATCTTTCAGCAATGGTAGAAACGATTTTTCCACATGATTTTTGCAGAGAAAAAGTCTATTTTGATTAACATTGACATCACTGGTTGTCAATTGTTTCTCAAGAGCCTCACCACGCTCTAAGATATAGTCTCTAAAGCTCCCCAGAGGTGGTGGTGAAAAAGAAGCATTATCAAAACCATTGTCATGGGTGAGAGTTTCTTGTGAGGAAAAACTTTCCTTCGACGGTGAATCTTCTGTGTTTTGATCTTCTTCATGTTGAGTTTCCAAAGAAACATGTTCTTCAGGAGTTCTGCCACTGTCACCTTCAAATGTTGATGGTGGTTTTTCATTGCCAAAAGTATTTTCATGCCATATTTTTGGATATTTTCCACTTTTCTGAATTAGAAACTCAGCTATTGATATTTCATCCTCTGACCATTTTCCAACAACGTTCTTTTCTGTGTTAGACCGTCTTCGCCTGATGTTCTTTCCTGTTTTTAAAACCTTGGAAAACATGTTTATATGAATGATGGCAAACACCTCTCTCTCTCTCTCTCTCTCTATATATATATATATATTGCAAATTAATTTAGAATATGATATTTTTTAGATAAATCTTGTAATCTATCAATCAAATTAAAGCACATCTTTATCTTTATCAAGATAATATATATATATATATATATATATATATATATATATATATATATATATATTATATACTATAATAAAGCATTAAGATGTTATAATTTTATTTAGAACATGGTTATCTTTTTTTTTTTTTAATCTTATAAAATATCAATGAAATATTAAAAGGGCATATATATATATATATATATATATATATATATATATATATATATATATATATATATATATATATATAAAAGATATTACATACTTAAAAACGGTCAAATATTGTAAATAAATTTAAAAAATGATTATATTTTTTTCTTAAATCTTGTATATATCAATCAAATGTAAAGTACACACATTTATGAAGATAAGATATTACACAAATTTATTTTAAAAAATCTTTTAAAATATCAATAAGACATTATATAATAAATATGATAATTCCTTTAAAAGATCATATATATTTTTTTTAATATTGTAATATATAGTAAAATACACACATTTATTTAGAACGTGGTTATCTTTTAAAAAAATAAAAATCTTATAAAATATCAATGAAATATTAAAAGGGCATATCTATTACTATAAGATAAGATATTACATATTTAAAAACGGTTAAATATGTAAATAAATTTAAAAAATGATTATATATTTTTTTCTTTAATCTTGTTATATATCAATCAAATGTAAAATACACACATTTATGAAAATAAGATATTACACAATTTTATTTTAAAAGATCTTCTAAAAAATCAATAAGATATTATATAATTTAAAATAAGTATCGATAAGATATTATATAATTTAAAATAAGTAACTTACCTAAGACTTGAACCTGGATGCTCAATGACAATAAAGGCACATGCAAACCAACTAAACTAACAAATCAATTATAATTTTTTTTTGCATTTAAAAATATATTTATTATTTAATTTCGTTAAATAAAATAATATGGCCCATGCAGGTCTCGAACCTGCGACCTTCGCGTTATTAGCACGACGCTCTAACCAACTGAGCTAATAGGCCATATGACATTTAATGAAAGTTTAACTATAAAACTTAAAAGTTAAAATGAATGAAACTGTGAACCTTAACATATGTGACATGAAGGTTAAGGATTAAATATCTTTTTTATATCTCTAATTGATCCAGTTTAAAATTAAAACTTTTATCTTTTTATTTTATATATTTAATGTTTCTTAAATATTTTAATTTGGTCATGATAATAACTTTATTTTTTAATTAATTATAATTTTAACATAATTAACATATTAATTCAAATTTAAGAGAATAATTATTGTAATAAAATTCATATATTAATTAAATGGGTATTAAAATACTATTTTTTTCTTTTTAAATAATCTCAAACTAGTTTGCTAAAATCGAATTTGATAATAATCATAAACATGTCTTTTGTGTATTAAAAATATTATACTCACAGATACAACAAAATAATCATAGCAATGATAAAAAATATATAAATATAGTTTAAGAAAGTTTAAAGAAGTGTCATTGTAGTTTCTTATTATAATTATCAGTGATAAATTCATATTTTATTGAATAAACAATTCTTATGGCATGAGCAAAATATTGGATAAACAAAAATGTAAAAGTAGAATAGCGCGTGACAGGTTGGAAGAGGATTTGATATCCGTTGACCAAACATGAAAACATGCAGACCACAACCTCAAATATTTGGATAATGAAGATTAGAGAATGTTATATGTATAAATACCCCTTTCTTTCAGACAAACATGGTCTCTCATGAACAAAAAGCAGAGAAAGCACCAAGGTTTGAGGAAGAATCACATGAAATAATAATAACAGCAACAAGAGAAGTAGAGTATTTGGTTAAGGTAAGTTCTCAAACTTTTTAAATTCTAATTTTTCATGCATTGCATATTTTGTTTAGTGATATTTGTACGAGTTTTGATACAAAACAACTTTAGAAAAGAAAAATATGAAAAATAAATAGAATTAGATTTTTTATTTGTTAAGATTAGTTTATTTACAAAGGATATATTCATGTAATTTCTTTTAACTTTTATTTTTAAGTTGTATTTTATTTGATTTTTTTTAATTTGTTTATAAATTAATTTTAATTTGCCACTGTAAAAAAATACTTAATTTGTTAGAATAACATATTTATCTAATTTTTCAATAATTTCTTTCTTTCTCTTGGTGATGCTTCACTTCATTCCTGCTTCTAAATTGACTAATTAATTAGCAAACCCAGAAGCTGGTTTAAGGCTCAACGCGTTTTTTTTTTTTTAAACAAAGTCATGTTAATTGAAACTATAATTAATCAATTTTTGTTATAAATAGTAAGTTTTTTGGGTAAGTAAAGCATGTGTAATTATATTTAAATCATTATCCTTTTTCTAGATTTTAATTATATATATGATGTCAAATCTCAATATAATAAAACTTTGAATAAAATATATAGATTATATTTTGTTTATCATAATATAATTTTTTTTAATGTCTTGCAGGTATTTTTGTATTTATGAGAATTCTTTAACTGTTTCAATAACAATAATAAGTAAATTAGTATACTTTTGCCAATGGTTATATATATAACTATTTAATATATAAAAAGAAAATGAATAATAATATTAAGAACATAAATAATAGTGTTAGATATTGTTTAAATATAATTTGATATTGTTAAGATATTGTTAGATTTTGTTAACCACAATATCTTCTGTTTATTCTGTTTACTTTCGGTTACTTTTTTAGTTGTACCTCTATATTATAAATAGATTACCCTATGTGTGATTTATACACAAGGGTGATTAATTTCAAATCCTATTTCCTTTATATTCAACATGGTATCTAGAGCTTAAGGTTATCTTGAATTTTTTTTTTCGTCTTTTGTCTACTGCTGGAGCCGCCCCACCGCTGCTGATCTTACATGTCAGAAAATAATTATCTTTATTACTGAATTTTATTTGGTAGTGTGAAAGTGCATGCACTACAAGAAAATCGCGTATTACCGACGGATATTTACCGACGGATTTGTATCCATCTGAAAGTAATTATTACCGACGGATATAAAATATTTATGGAATTTGATCTTACCGACGGATATATCCGTCGGTAAATTAACAATCAAGTAAATATTCAACTAATTAAAAAATTAAATATTTTTTATTTAATAATTTAATTTAATCATAATTAGATTAATTTATAATAATTTCTTAAATTAAATAATTTTAAAAAATAAATATTTAATTATATATAAATATATAAATATAAATATATATATATATAAATATATAAATATATAAAAATATAAATATATAAATATATAAAAATATAAATATATAAATATATAAAAATATAAATATAAAAATATAAATATATAAATATAATTTATTTGTAAATTAACTCTAAGGTACTCGAGTTCGAATCCTGCTAATGACAATTCTCTTAAAGGCTTAATCTGATAATAATTAAAGCATATAAAAATGTAATAGGGAAAATTAATTAATAATAAATAATAAAAATATTACCGATGGATTCCCGTCCAGTCGGTAATTTTGTAAAACATTTACCGACGGACTATTAAATCCGTCGGTAATATTAAAATTTCTTGTAGTGATGTCTAGGAAAGTTCTGAAAAGGAAAGACTTGATATTTAAGTGTGTCCATTAGTGACCCACCTCTCTTTCCTGGGAACTTACCTGGTGTACTGGTTCACGTTGCTGTCACCGGATCTGTCGCTGCCGGAGTTTCATTTTTCTTTATCGGTGACATATGATTTTGCTTGTCTCGGTCAGGTGACCACCGTGCCGGTGAGATCATCACTATCGGAGTTGGTCGTCTCGTTGTCTCCTGCGCCGTTTAGTCTTGACAAACTTATTTTTAGTATTCTCATTTTGGATTTGTGCTTCGTGGGTTAATTGGATTACTTTGGATTGTTCTCCCACTCTTCATGACTTCTTCTACTATTTCCAATTTTGTTAATGATTCTTTTGTGTTGACATCCCATCGTGATGACCGGACTCGCCCTCGCAAATAGGGAAAAGGGTGTCCTAAGTGTGAATATTGTGGCAAGCTAGGTCATAAGATTAACAAGTGTTATACATTACATGATCGTCTTCCTCGATCTGCTGCAGTTGTTCAGACCAATCTTTCCCCACCTTTATCTGTTGGGGATCCTTCTTCTTCTGTTGCATCCGACATGCCTGCTATGTTCAACAAATTTCTCGAATGGTATAAGGATCAACAGTCTTCTAGTTCCACTATATCTGTCATACATACAAATACATATTTTGCTGGTCTGACCCAATCATTTTCTCCTAGTCCTTGGGTTTTTGATTCAGGAGCCACTGATCATATTACTGGTAACAAATATTTGTTCTCCTCTTTATCCTCTCCTAATCATTTACCTTTTGTTACACTGGCTGATGGCTCTAGAGTATCATCTCATGGTGTTGGAACGGTTAAAATTTTTCCTTCTTTAACCATTGATAATGTTCTTTATGTCCCTGAGTCTCCTTTTAACCTGTTGTTTATCAGTCATCTAACTCGTTCTCTTGATTGTGTTGTTACTTTTACCAACAATTCTGTGTGTTTACAGGACCGGAGTTCGAGACAGATGATTAGCACAGGATGTGAGTCTCATGGTCTTTATTATCTCCGTCCATCTACACATGTTAGTACAGTTATGGAGTCTTCCTCTCTTCTTCATACTCAGTTAGGTCATCCAAGTCTTGCCAAGTTACAGAAACTTGTCCCTGCCTTGTCCAACTTATCTAGTTTGGCGTGTGAGTCATGTCAATTAGGCAAGCATAGTCATACTTCCTTTCCTCATAGTTTCACACGTGGTGCTTCATCCCCTTTTGTCGTGGTTCACTCTGACATTTGGGGACCTA